CTTAAACATTACTACACAACTAAACTAGGTTAACAGTAGGCTAACAGTTAGCTAGCTGCTGTAGGCCTATGTTAACGGTTGCTAATGTTAATCTATCAAAAAACACAGTCAATAGCGTTAATGTTAGCTATAAAGCTACCTGTTTAAGTATATTATAATACACCCAAGGCTATAAATGAGCTACTTACTTAAAACGGAGAGCCATGAGGCGCATTCACACCGCAGTACTTTTCCCACAAAGGTTCATGAGAACTTAGTTCATCAGAATTCTTTAGTTCTGATGAACTAAGTATAGATCGCGTTCACACGGGAATAAGTCCCTGGGGGTGGATTAGGCAAATGAAGCCGCTGACGTCACTTCTTCTTCTTCTGCTTTGGGTTTACTGGCAGGCCGCAAACAACTTCACGGCGTATACTGCCGCCCAAAATCCCCGGGCGGAAGTCCCCGGAGTTGGGGACTGGAGCCTTCCGAGTAAATCGCCAGAACGCCAACACCTCCTCATCTCCACCGCTCCCATGTTTTATTTTGTGTTGCCATAAATTAGTCTCTTTACGTTTCTGCGCTGGGCTAATGCTCATAAAATGGTGCTAATAAAATGGTGGCTTCACAACACTTTTTTTTAGTTTTACGGGGCATGGTTTGCAATCCGCCCAGCCAATCAGAAATATAGCTCTTTTCTCACAAGAAAGCCGCATGAGAGTCCCTGCTCTCTAGCAGGGATGGAAAAGGGGGTAAAAAGGTTCCTCATTAACACATTTTAGTTCCGGCTCTTTTTGGTGTGAACGCGACATTTCGGAACTATATCGGAACTAAAGTGGGAAAAGTACTCCGGTGTGAACGCGGCTATTGTGTCCAAAGAGAAATGGGCCGATGGATTCCATGCAATCATCTATACAACATGCAAATTATGCTCGATTATTATTTTGCTGTTTGACTTACATTTTATTTAAATAGCTTAGGGAATCCACTTCTGGGAATGAAACTTCACCGGGGAAGTTAAGAAGGAGTTTAAAGAGAATGATGTGAAAAGATTGTGCAACGACACTATTTCCTCAAGTACCTGACAATTAGTCTTTGAAATATTGGCTCAGCAATACACTATGGGTTTCCTTGAACTGTGTGCTTCCTCACTGAACTGTCGCAGGTTGTTTTTTCTGTGTAAGTGGATGCACACACATGCTTCCATTGGAATGTGTTGAGAGTACCTCACAGCTTGTGGTAGTTGTGCATGACCAGAGTTTTTATTATCTGTCGTGTTTCAGTAGTGTGAAAGACCAGTATAATATTACTTTCTGAAAGATCTGTAAGAGATGCTACGTAAGTGCTTGTTATTGTTTGAGTGTGTGAACTATAAAGAGAGTGCACTGTGTTTTTTGTAAAGAGTGATTGTTACAGACGATGTATAATGGATTTCCTTTGGGGAACACATGTGGGGGGAAAGGGGAAAACGGGAAGGGTAGAACAAACATCTAAATCCCACACTCACTCACACACTTGTGGACATTTAGCAGATAGAAACCATGACCATCTGCTTATAATACAAGGCAAGGCGTTCAACGTAGACGCCCACAAGTGTGTAAGTGTGAAGGCTCAGGGTTTGTTCTAGCTTGGGACATGAATAGAAGTATGGCGGGTTAAGGGTCGAAAACTAGCTTACAGTATAGGCTCTTAGTTTTTCTGATTGGTGGAATTTTCGCTGGGGTCTTGCTGCTTCTCCATCTTCTTGGTGGTGACAACGGTCTCCTCGTAAACCTCGCGCTGGGTCACCTTGCCCAGCTTGCTCTGCTGCTGCGGCTCCTCGTCCTTGCTCTTGGAGCTCTTGCCGGAGCTGCTGTACATGCGGCTCTGGTAGTTGTAGCCTTGCCCGGAACTGATGCTGCTCATGGAGGAGCCGGGAAAGCTGATCCCAGTCCCGATGCGGGTCTCCTCACCCTCCAGCAGTTTCCTGCAGAGAGAACCATAGGGGAAAGGTTTAGATCAGATAGAGAGTAATTGGAAGAAACAACATTTTTACAATGGAGAAAGTGATTTTTCTCCAATGTTATGTCTGTATTGTGTCCTTTCAATTCCTTGTTATGGTTATCATAACTTATAAAAGTGATTTTTAATAGTGATAGTGAGTTGTCTATGAGAGAACAGCCTACCTGTAAGCTGCAATCTCAATATCCAGTGCCATCTTGACATTCAGCAGATCCTGGTACTCCCTGAGGTGACGAGCCATCTCGCCCTTAGTGGCCCGTAGGTCGTTCTCCAGCTCCATCATGTTGTCCTAAGGGGAATCAAACAATACAGGAAAAGAAGGCCAGGGTTCAACACTTGTTTGAAGAAAAATAGTTAAAAAATAACAGTTTGTGTGCACCTTTCTCGAAAGGGAATTATGGCAGTGCCCAGACATAGACCTATGTCGATCCTATTTTTAATCCAGTGTGTAGCTGGCATTCTAGCCATTTATAATATCTAGTCGTTTGGTCTAAAAAAAAAAAATTCTCAGCTAGGATTGTTGGATCCCAAACAACAAAGAAAACATACTGGTCTAGCAAATCCACTCTGTGGGCGTTGTCAGATGCAGCAGTGGCGCGCTGTCCCATGGGAGTGAGTTTCAGCACCACGGACAGAGCTCAGCTGCTCCTCATATTATTACCGCACCGACAATTATTTGTAATATAAGAAGAAATGCCCATATGCAATGTTTACTGTTCAATGTTATAACACCTTTATTCAGCTGAAAATGAAAGGATTTTATAGCATTTAAAAGTCATTAAAGGTGATTACCTGGTAGTTTCCAATCTCCATATTGTGCCTTTCCTCCATCTCCCGCAGCTGCTTTTCCAGAGACTCGTTGGATCCCCTCAGACTCTCTATCTCGATGGTCTTGGACTGCAGCTGCCTCCTGTACTCGTTCAGTTCCTCCCTGCTGGCGCGGATGGCGTCATTGCTCTTGCCGGCCTGCTCGGACAGGTCGGCGAACTTGGTCTTGTACCACTCCTCGGCGGACTGCAGGTTCTTGGACGCCATGGACTCGTACTGGCCTCGGATCTCCTTCAGGGCGGAGGTGAGGTCCGGCTTCGCCACCTCCATCTCCACGGACACCTGGGCAGCCTGGATCATGTCCGTCAGCTCGACCACCTCCTCCTCGTGCACCTTCCTGAGGAAGTTGATCTCGTCCAGGAGAGATTCTACCTTCTTCTCCAGGTCCAGGCGCACCATGGTGGCATCATCCACATCTTTCTTATAAGCCTTGAGGGTGGCCTCAGCTTCCTCACGGGCGCGGAACTCGTCTTCGTATTTCCCCCTGACCTTATGCAGCTCGTCCTCGACGGAATCCCTCTCTATCATGAACTGGGACTTCTCCCCGCTCAGCTCCTCCAGCTGGGAGCGCAGTTCGCGGATCTCTTGCTGGTAGAGCTCCGCCAAGCGGGACGGTTCGGCCTGCCTCTGTCGCAGAGCGGTCAATTCCGTCTCCAGCACTGCGTTGTGCTGCTCCAAGGTGCGCACTTTGTCGATAAACATGACAAAGCGGTCGTTGAGACCCTGCATTTGTTCCTTCTCATTGGTACGGACAATTTTGAACTCATTGTTGAGGGCATTGCTCTGTGTCAGGTCGAAGGTCTCCAGTGGCATGGAGCGGCCGGACTTTCTGTTGTACGAGCCCAGGGCTGATGCGCTGCTCCGGGACGCAGAGGAGGACCGGTAACCTGTCCTGGAGGACATGTTAACGGTTGACCGCGACGGAGAGGACGCATAACGGGGAGAATCCCCAAAAATCTTGCGGTAGGAGGAGGCGGAGAAGGATTCAGACCCGAAGCTCATCTTGGCGTGTATATGGAGAGACAGAGCAGAGCAGTGGGCGCGTCTCCTTTATATAGGGGGACCAGCCCAGTCACTTATTAATGCAGAACATGGGAACATCCGGCTCATTGCTTCCATATGCGTCAGGTAGAACAGCAAATATAAGAATCAATGTTCAATTGTTTTCTTATTACTATTCTACAATTAGTCTGAGGTAATCCTACTATTGGTCCAGATGTGCACAGTGGGAAGTTTTCTTTGAGTGGAGCAGATGGAACTGTCCTTTTTGGCGCAGTGGTGCGTCAAAGTTTTATCGCTTGTTTTACACTTCAAACTAATAATATAGAAAATGCTCCTCCATAAGCAAATGCTCATATAATTCGTATTAAGGGAGCCTCTCCATCTGTTTCTGGAGACGAAATATATCTGAAATGTGAAAAACAACCCTATATTTACATAAAGACTGAAATTATTTTAAGGAAGGACAATGATCCTTCAAAACGTTTGAAGATAGGCTATACTTGCAAATAGCACCAGAGAATTATAGTTATTCTCTAAAACATTTCAGTGGCACTGTCCCACTAGTGTCACAAGAAATTCAGCACGGTGAGACGTCGTTTTACAGGCTTACACTTACAGACACTTTGTATCGTGTGTTTCTTTACAATGACACTAATATATTAAAAGTTAATTAAAATGGGGGGGGGGGGGGGGGGGGGGGGGATATGACGTGTGAGTTTGAACTAGAACCACATCGTAATTCATATTCATTTACCTTTTTCAAAAACGATAGTTGTTAACCTTAGTTTGGTTTATATAGGCTACTCAAGTTTGCTCAACATCCCTTGAACACATCTCTCCACTTATAGGCCTTTGCTGCCCTCTGTCGTCAAATTGCAGCACACTGGCAGACGGGACATTTTAATATAAAGGCTAGGACCACTTGGCACTTTAAAAGCTGTTTTATATCCTTTTTCACAATCCTGATTAATTTGTAGTCACATTTTTAAAGCTCGAATCCCAATTAGTCCAACGTCCATCTGATGTGGAACAATGTTAATACAGCACATCGTTTTCATGTCCTCATTTATGGATATTTTTATGTTTATGCCATAAATTAATGATATTGCCAAATGAAAAATAGCTTATCTAACTGTAAATAATGTGGATTAGAGCATCAGGGAAGGGCATGGCATGCTAAGTGTTTCTACCCAATGTGCACAGTAGACGAGAGATGTTAATAGAACTTCCTATTATTGTTTATTTTTATGATTACACATTAGGAACCAATGTGTGTTTGAGAGTAGTTTTTTGAATTCTTGTTGAGTTACTGTATATTAGAAATAATCGGTTTCGTAATGATCTATTGTCAGTCATTGTGCTGCATTTATGTTCTTGGATAGAAAAAATGTTCAGATTTGCTGTGCAATGAGAAACAGACCACAACCAAACAACAGACACAAAACATACATGACTTAGGGCTTTAAAGAATAAAGAAGTGCTTGTTAGAAAGAATGTTAAACGCAACACCATGCTGTTTAGCAACTGCAGTTTCAAAGTTTTTCTTAACAAGTCAAGATAGAGTGAAGAGTTAAGTATGCCTTGCAGCTCATTCAGAGCTTGCAGAGCATAACAAGATGTGCATATTTGTCAGACTCCACAGTCCGACAACTATAATTACAAGTTTGAAGGGGCCCTATAATAGTAATTCTTAGGTTTTCTTTTCTGCTTCTACTCTGTCTCCATGCTTTATTGTTCAAAAAGGTCTTTATTTTTCTCATACTGCCTGTGCTGCAGCACCTCTTTTCACCCTATGTCTGAAACCAGAGCTCAGCCTGCTCTGATTGGTTAGCTGGCTGGCCTGACTCTGTTGTGATTTGCCAACTACTTATGACGTACAATTTGTTGGAGCCAGCTAAAAGAAGCGTGAATGTTGAAAAGTGATGTCACTATTGTGACAACAAAGGAGTCCACTCGAGGCGTTACAGGCAGGGGGGGATCTGAGGGAGGGAGCCATTAAATAAAAGGGTGTCGTTTCGGCCTCTTATCCCAGTTTTTGGTGAGTTGTCAGCAGTTTCACTAAAGAGTATTCTCAAATGGTTTCACTTAGTCGTTTGAGGCCCAAAGAGGTTATTCTACAACATTTAACCAAAAAAGCTAAGAGTTGATGTTGTGTCACAGAATTTTTTCTTATTTCCTTCCCCATTTTTTACGACTAGACTTTGGAGTGGAGACCTATAAGATGATAACTTCAGGAATAAACTTTTAACTATCTTAAGCAGATAACTAGCTTCACATTGACCAGCTACATAAGGTACATGTTATTGGACAATGGACATGCATTGATTCATTATCATTAGTGGACACCTTCTTAGTACATTTACCACTTCAACTTGTTTATTTACATTTTCTGTATATTTTATACTTTTTACTCAAATACATTACTTTGTTTACATTCATTAATTTGGAAATTCAAACTCGGACTAGAAACACAACATATTATCAATACATGTCATATTATAGATTAGGTGAAAATTCACAAGCTACCTGGCATTGTAAAATTAAATTACCAAAATAAAACCTGTAGTAAAGGAAAATGAGAGCTCCAAGTTTACTATCTGCACCAGTAAACGCGTGATAAACACATTAATTAATTAATCATTACTATTAAACAGTGGTGTAAAGTAGCCAAGTACATTTACTTAAGTAGAGTACTTAAGTAACATTTTGAGATACTTGTACTTTACTTGAGTATTTCCAGTATACAAAGTCAATAAAATAGCTGCACCTTTACCAGCTTTGATAACACTTTAATGCATCAATAATTGCAATCATAATATAAATTATTCTGAAATGGACCTATCTGCATAATGAGTACTTTTACTTTTGGTACTTTAAGTATTTTTTGATGCTGATACTTTTGTACTCTTACTTGAAACATTTTGAATGCAGGACTTTTACGTAACAGATTATTCCTACTCTGGTACTTTTACTCAAGTACAAGATCTGAGTACTTCTCCCACCACTGCTATTACATGATATAATCATCATTGTGCAGGGTACTTTTTGTACTATATTGATTTACTAGTAGTTCATTGATAATATAAGTAATATTTTTATGCAAAACTTTTATTGTGGTATTGGTTGCTAATTTCACCAAAGTAAAATATCTGATACTTATCACAGAAAACATGTTATCAGATGAACCTGATCAGAATCCAATCATCACCTAATTTGTGCGGTTTATTGTGATTTTAATAGGTTTGTGACTGTCTTTAATCCTGAGTAGATAACTCGGTAATCTTTTCACTGCTGCCTAAGTGTTTCTTGTAGTGAACTGATAACAGAAGGCAGGACCGCGGTGTCACGTGTCTGGTGCCACGACGACAGAGAGTCCCGCCTCCTCCTGACAGACAGAAGACGCGTCGCCCCTGAACGCCTCAAACAACAGCTGTTAGCACAGGAAGAAGGAGAGAGCTAAGCAGAGAGCAGAAACAGCATCTCTGCTGCCTGGCGTGTTTACAGTGAAGGACACTTAGGAAAACACATGGCTATTTTCCTCCGATTTGTACACAGCTCAAGGCGCATGCTCAGACAGGAACAAGAGTGACGGAATGCAGTGTTTTATCAGAACTCGGAGGTGAGTACCACAGTAATGCCGAGTCACGACTTAAGCGCAGAAATTCTGTCCCCCGACACTTTGTTGCTTTTGTTTTTGCTCAAGAGCCAGCTAGTGCGTTAGCGTCGTTGGCCGAGAGGTCACTTGTATCCGTCCTTCTCAGTAATGTCAGCTATGAGATACAGAGGCCGGACGCATAGACCGTTTGAGCGGGACTGTTAGCTAGCTTCAACAGTTTAGGCAAAATAACGGGACGTGTCTTGTTACTGTGCGTTAAGCCCGGCTGCGAAACAAGCGTTCCTTGTGTGAGCTTGAAAAGTATACTGGTTTACAGTGAAGTAGCTTAAGCGTAATCTCTCACGCTGTCACCACCGTTGGTTTATTATAATATCCCTTTTTAAATGTAAACAGCTATTGTAAACGCTATTCGTACACGTAAACCAGCGGTCCGTTTTGTTGAGTGACAGCTAACGTTACGGTGTACGCGACTGTTTGAGATGAGCGTCGACCCTCTTTCTCAAGTCTGACCTGCGCAACAAAGCCTGTAAACAGGTTATGTTATGGCCCTTTCTCCAGGAGAATGGTTTGCAGGGGTATAACTGAAAGGTTTTCCTATTTGTTCGGGATGTGAATCTCTCCAAAGCCACTGCTCCCTTTTTAGCTTCAGGAGGCCCAGTGACCCAGTTCAGACAATGGGCCAAGGTGTCATAAAGGCATTAGCTGAAGATAAATAGAGAAGGAGCGATTGACCACGATTAGAAACATCTTTTGAAACTGTCTAGTTAGGTTATTTTCTGGACCCTGTATGAAATTTAGATTCCAGATTGTAAAAGACAGACATGTCAACGCGCTTTGTTTACGCCTCATGTATAGTGTCAAGCGGATTTATTGCGTCGGTTATACTCTAACGCAGTGTTGTTGTTGACACTTGCGTCAGCGTGCTAGTTTAAT